GAGGGAAGCGAAAGGCGGTGTGGGGGGCAGGTGCAGGGAGGAAGGAAAAGAGATTTCACAAGATCAGATGACAGACCTGAATCCTGGAAGATAATTCATAGTCAATTGTTTTGTTTTGGTCCACTAGTTGGGGAAAGAAGAACTGAGTATAAGGGAAGTGAACCACAACAATTCTGAGTCCTTTTCTTGAAAAAACTAAACATAACAAAAGTGCTTTTAAAGGGCATTTTCATTCCTATCTAAAGTATGGATAATCTGGCTGTCCTACAGTCCATGCTTTTCAAGTAAGCAACTAAACAATCTTATAGTAAAGTCCGTAACATGTACTTAGAACAATGCCAAGCACTGCAGAGAGAAAAACTACAAACAAGACCCTGTGCACTCAATTAGTTTATAATTTAGTTGGGAAGCGGGACAGATCATTCAATAATAACATAAGAGAGTTGAGTGTACAATGAACATGAAACTATGTGGTATGACCTAGATTAGAAGTACGTACTATATGAAGCTCTAGAGCTTTCAATGATTTTCTTTTCTGCATAGCTACAAGAGAAGTCACATAATTTTTAAGGCTGAATCGAGACTTTAAAGATGAATAAGGTTCTTCATGGAAAAAAACCTCATGTCTTTATTTTAAAGTAAGGCATAACATATCAAATTTATAGAGCCCTTAAAATATTGCAACTGAAGACTAAAAATTTTCCAATTTTTTTTTAAACCTTGCTGCATTTATCTGCCTATAGACACTGGCTGAACTTGCCCCAGAGGCCATAATGCACTCAGGTAGAGAAGTGGGTCTGTGTGCTCCCATCCACAGTTCAGAGCTGGGTGCTATTCTCCCTGGATGAAGGAAACAGTAATAGGAAATGTTTTCTCCAGCCCTTTGAACTAAGGGACCTGGTTTCTTTGGTCTTCCTTCTCTTACTGGAAACTTGAGATTCAGACTGATGAAAAGAACAAGGGGTCCCAGTGGAAACAAATACTTGACGAAAAATATTACTAGTGAAACCAACTAACTGCACTCTATAAAAAGTGTGAAAATGACACTGGTATAAACAGAAAAGAACCAAAGACCTTTGCAGTGAAGTAAGCTTCTAGTCATGAGAAAGAACTTATAAAAATATGTGACCAATTGATGATAATTTCTCCAGTGATTTTCAAAAAAAAATTTAAACCACTATTAAAAAACAATGAATTTGAAGTAGGGTGCAGAATGAGAAATCAAAGCCTCAATTTTTTATGAAGTTTTAGAGTTTAAGCGTTTTCTTACTTTTGTGTAATTTTAAGATTGTGTAAGACATAGCAGTAAGAACTCGTTCTCCTTCAAAGATGTAGATATCCCATATTCTGAGGTTTAGTGTAAAGGGAGTCTATAATTAAAAGCAAAACAAAACAAAAATAAGGTTAACAGCTTCCCCTCACCTTGTATTTATAATTTTATGACTGAGTTTTGTAAATAAATACTTACACGATCAAGGAAACACTGAAAAAACCATTTCATTGTGTAAAAACTTGTGTAGATTTCTTGAGAATCCTGAAAAAACAAAGAGCTCACAATTTCTGGATTGTAGTAAACTAAATTTAACAAAATAATACGAAGTTAGGAAGGCTGTTGGATGCAGCTATCAAAGCTAAACACATTTACTTCCCAAATTCACTCCAAAAATAAATTCCTCTTATGACGGGACTATAATACAACACTTAGATTCTCTTTAATATATTTTACAGTGAGCTATCTTTGTTTACCTAAACTACTGTGTTTTATAGTAAGGCATACATATAGTTCACTAACAACGAGTTTCTGTGACCCTGAAAAAATACTTTCTGTACAATGAAAAAACCTCCAAAACAACAGGAAGATCCCGTATCTTTAAATTATCACACTGTTTGCATTATTAGCTTCAAAGAAGTTCAAATCCCTCAGTAGGAACTGTGATAGCCTATCAATATTAAATTTTACAAATGTAATATTTTGTAAACAACTGGGAATTATAACTGCATAGTAAATGAAATGGATGACACTATAAATTAATAAGGTAATTGGGACCAAAGACAATTTAATCATCCCAGCTTTTTGGGGCAGGGTAGGTGGGTGTAAGTCAGTGTCACATCTACCTACCAAGTGTTGCTTAAGCTTGGACAGAAATTTGTTCAGTATTTTTTCATGATGTTCTTGAAACCTCAAGAGTTTAGGAAAACCTTGGACAAAAAAGCCTAGAATACAAACATAAAAACAACACTTCATAAACAATACCAACAAAACCCTCCAATCTTAAAATGCAACATATTTCTTTCCTTTGTAACTGTCAAAAATAAAAAGAAACATCCAGTAGTTACCAAAATATTTTTTCTCCCCACCCAGGAAGTAACTGTATATAAGCTTTCAGTAATGAAACTTTGAGCCTAGGATTTGTTTGCTAAAGATCTTCTATAACTTTGTATTTTTGAATTTAAAGGGAAACCTTAAAAAAAAAAAAAGGACACTGAAGCCATTTATCAAGATTATCTGTTCTTTTAAGATATTGGGCCATATCTTAAATGCATATATTTTTAATATTTTATTCCAACCCTGACTAGTTATTTTGTTTTACTCTTAATACGCTAACAAACAATTTATTACTTTTTTCAGGCTTACTCTTAAGAATTTCATTAGTATAACATTTCCAAAGTTTTAAATCGCTTTTTAATCCTTTCCGAAAAAGCTGTATTTAACATCTGCTAAAAATACAGGTGCTAAATGATCAATGTTATATCAAAAATGGTATTTTATCCCGAGTGACTACACAATATAATCTATATCTAAGAAGTAACAAATTACAAATGGTTAGCATTAATTTTGTATATTTAACTCACTGAACTTTACATGTATTTTTCTTCCTGGTATTCTATATAATCCATTAAAAAGAAAGTCCACTCAACAGACTTGATGATTCTTCTACATTAGGATTTTCTAACCAAGGTTCCATGCAACTTTGAAAGATGTTAATAGACGTTCTACGCTTTTGAAAAAGAAACCAGAGGACACATTTATATCCTTCTTAGATATTCATGAGGCATTTTAGCTTATTAATCTTCTTGCCTTTTAGACTTAATGAAACTTGTTTTTCTTTCACTCAGTCTCTCCCACACTTAAGTGATTTTGGAGGCCACATTCCCCCCAGAAAGTCTGTTGCCCCAAAATGAAACTCTGTTCCACCAAGAACCTGAGGCACACGCTATTGGGCAGTGGTGCTTTACAATCTACTGGGCAGAATTATTTCTTAACTAGTTCTCAGTTTTCTAGGGTGTGTGTAAAAATTTCCAGAGACAGAAAGAGGTTCTACTCCTACTTTAGTAGTAGTTTTCAGTGAAATTGTTTCATTAAAAAAAAAAAAAAAAAAAATCCATCTCTCTCTATCAGTGCTACTTTCATGGCCAATTTGGTAGGATAGGATAGGAAGTCTGATTTTGAAAAAGTCAATACAGTTCAGTGATAACTAGCTCAAGAATGCTAAGAAGCCTAACATTTCTTCATTTTCCACTGATGTTCCAGATCTCATATTTTATATTTTCAGCTTTAGCTTCAATCCCATACATTTATAAGTGAAACCACCGTGTTCACACTGGAAATGCAAAGTACTGAGGTAACCTTTAGTTATAAAATCTCACAGGCAGACACAGAAACAAACATCTCTAAGTATAAACTTACCCTTAATAATGAGCCAAACTGCATTCTAAGTGTAAATGTTAGGATAGTAGAATTAATATTATTTTATAGATTAGTCTAGTGACAATAATTGCTGAAGGTAAGCTATCAAATAGGTTTAAATGACCATTTCCTAAAATTGGACAGTCTTGCACATAATTACATACCACTTAAATTTGCATTCCATTGTACTTCAAGACAGATCAGCAACACAACCCCATGGGAAAGCAAAATAAAGACTGACAGGGAAGAGCGGCTTTCTTCAAGATGCCTTTTGGAATGATACTACCTACTGGAAGGTAACTCTATATAATAACATGTCTTACTTTTAGAGTCTATTTACTAGATGCAAAGTGCCCAGACCCAGTTACCATGCAGATGATATTTGTTAAGTAATTGGCAAGGAACACTAAGGGAGAAAGACAAATGCAAACACATACATACCCCCCTCACTCTTCCACACACACATAATATCCTCACATGGTCAGAGTGTGAGATTTCAGTAACAATGAGCTATAGAAAGTCATAATTTTGAAAATATTAAAACAGTATTTTAAATATATAGCAGGTTCCCCACCACACAAAGCTTATTCACAAACTGAACTTGGAAGATTCATTCTTAGAATAGCTAGTGTTAAAATTATTTTAAATTTGATATTAACACTTAGAATAACTAGTGTTAAAATTATTTAAATTTGAAGGCACTAGGAAAATAATTTTGCATTATATGAACAAATGCCACTTTTATTTCCAAGACAAGTTGTGATCTAAGGGCGGGGGCTGTGGCTCACACCTGTAATCCCAGTATTTTGGGAGGCTGAGGTGGGAGGTTCACTGGAGTCCAGGAGACTGAGACCAGGCTAGTCAACATAAGGAGACCTCATCTCTACAAAAAAATTTAAAAAATTAGCCAGGCATGGAGGCACATGCCTGCGTGGTTCCAGAATCTAGAGAGGCTAATGAGGCGGGAGGATGGCTTGATCCCAGGAGGTCAAGACTGCAATAAGTCACAATCACGCTACTGCACTCCAGCTTGGGTGACAGAGCAAGACCCTGTCTCAAGAGTTGTAATCTAAACTCTCCGAAATAAAGTCTATTGCTTAATTTGGCAAAAACAAGGAAAAAGTTATTATAAACAGTGTTAACTTGAAAATGAAAAAATCAGCAGGTTCTGAGATATTAAATAATCGAGCGCCTAGAACATGTTATCAACCTTTTATTTAAAGTGGAACCAATTTTATGCGAAAAAACTAAAAACTACACTTGAAATATAAAACTACTTAATTATTACCTTTCCTTTAAAAACCTAAGTGCCATTTCTCAATGACTGTTTTTTTGACAAGGTGTTATACATCACAATATCCGGTCAATGGTAAACATTTCACTTAAATGATAATTTCATGACCATCTAAAAGTTCTGATTAAAAGGCATCTTTTATTTCTCCCAATAATATGCCTGTTCTTAAATTCCTCCAATCCTAAATTAGTTTCTTTTGACCAAGGGCAAGTAAGAAAGAATTTCAAAATGCCAACAATATACTTTGGAATAAAGACAAAGGAAAATAAATGTAAACATTTTAGAAAAGTTCAATAATGAAAAATGAAAGAAGAAACTAGTAACAAATACTAATGAACTCAATGAGCCCTGAGACATTAAATTTGTTGTATGTAACTCTTGCAAGCATCTTTGGTTTTGTTTTAATCTACCTTTTTCCCTACCTTGATTTTTTAGATAAAGCACAGGGTTTTCTTACCATGCATGGCATGTTTAGGGCCTGAGAAGAGTTTGACCAGGGCCCAGAAGGCATCTTCCTCGTTCATATACATGAGGAGTAAAGCTGTGATCTGGCTCATCCCCTGACAATACCCGACTTCCTGGGGAGCAAAGGGGAACACAGAAGCTGGGGAGTTTAGCCGAATTACATACATATGTACAGAGAAAAAGCTACTCTATAAAAACCAGAAAATTCCTACACACATTGTTTAATAGTCCATTCTAGAGACAAATACTATACTCTTTACAGTATTATGCCACATAAGAGAATAAAATTGTGCTCAAAAATAAATGTACAGGTACCAAGTGTAAATTCCTACATATTTTTATTGCACTCTGTTCAACACTGTCACACTTTCTTTAAAGAGTGTTAATATTTATTTCACTTTATGTATGATTCTTAGCTCACTATATCTCTTCTTTGCTCAGTGGCTGGCAAAGTCTCTCCTCCTGCAATACCCAGTATGCTGTCTTGTCTCCTCTAGATTTCTGAACCCTTAAGCAGACACATTTTAGGATGCCCATGCACAGTCTATGCCTCCTCTCTAAGAAATATCCACTCTCTCCACAGTCCCTGCTTATGATGTGGCCTCAGGGATTCATGCTTGTGCCACAGGAACCACAGCTAATGGACCAGAAGAGGAGAGCTGACCCCAGGGGAAGAGTTAGTTGGTTGCACTGACTCATCAGACACTCTCTCTAGGAAATGTGAACAAAGCCAGAGACTGTAATCAGATGGGGGTATGTACTGGAACAGAATGCTCACACTGAGTCTGTGGGTACAATCTGAGCCAAGGAATAAGTGGCCAGTAGGCAAAGGAAGCAACCTGGAGACAGAAACAGTGAACTGAACAGTTCACAGAGATCATCTGAGATACTGAGTGGCCCCCAGAATGAGAGAGATGGAAGGTGCAGTTTTCCTTCTCACCAGATGCTTCCCACCTTCCAGCTCCAATTCCAATGAGGTCTAACTAGTGCTTCCTTCTTATGAGATGTCCCTTTAATAACCCCTTTTTAACTTTTCCTAGTTTGAGTGAATTTCTGTTCTTACAATTTAAAGGTTTTAACTACAATAGAAATTATACATCCCAAGGTTCAAAGGTCCTCCCTGGGACCTATTCCGCAAGTATTCATTTAACACCCACATTAAGTCCAACACGAATTAATCTATCCCAGGTTATCTTCTTCCCCAACAATGCTGAATGCCTTAAGAAGAGCATGTCTATTACCAAAGAGTTTAGCCTCCTCCGGGGTATAGCCAGTAAGGGCACAGTTATCTTGTTTGGACCTCACCTAACAGATAAATGTGATTGTGAAAGGTAACCTCCCAAGAGCAAAGAGAGTTATAAAAAGTCAAACAAAATTAACCAAGCCACCCACTTCCTGTCCTTCTACCCTGTATGTCTGCTTAAAAATAAAAACAAAACAACACAAAACATTACCAAGCAAAACAATATGGAGGGAAAGAGAAAAGGTGAGACTCACTGGCATACTGTGGTCATATTTAGGTTCTTCCACTTCAGAATCAGCTCTGCTCTAAGGCCCTAGGGTTATCGCAGGGTTTCAGCTTAAAAAGATCCACAGAGCTAAAGAGACTGTGGAACCACCTAGCTCTGAGATGCAGAAATGTGCCCACAGGGCCCTGTTAGGTAGGGAGTGCCTCAGAATACAAATCAAAGACCTTGGGCAGGCAGGCCCCAACTTACCGTATTATAAATAGAATAGGCAGCAAGAACATGGAATAAGGATTGTTGCCTAGAGAAAAAAAAAATTTACATTAAATACAATTTAGTAATTTCACATATTTTAAACATTACAAACTTAATAAAGACTGAAAACAGATAATCCAGATAAAATTACTAATGTAATAAATTATCCCAAGTTCAAATTCAAAGACTCTAAAAAGTCTAAATTCAAGACTAGATAATATTCATTCTGAAAGGATTTATACCAAGAAAACACAAAAGACTTCAAAATTCCTTAAATGTGCTGCCCTCTTTTGCTGATCTATCTCACTTTGAGACCCTTCTGACAGAAGCAGCTGGCTTGACAGAATGGTGGAACGTCCTTTTGAGGGCTCAGTGACACTGCCAGCAAGGTACAATACCCTGCAGGGCTGGGGCGATGTCCTTGGGATGCTGAATATGCTCCATACCAGGCTCCAATACAAGGTGCTGTTTCTCCCAAAGCCAGGATTCAGGGGTCCAAGATTCAAAGGCTGGAAGTAGGAGTGGCTCATCATTCTCGCTAAAGATCCACTAGCAAAGCGTTTGCTTCTTGCCCCTGCAAGCTTGAGTTCTGCTGGTCTAGAGATCTTAGTTCCAAAAGGAAGAATGCTTCCACCATGAGACATAACAGTGATTCCACTGACCTGGAAGCTGAAACTGCCACCCAACCACTTTGGGCTCCTTATGCCTCTGAACCAACAGGCAAAGAAGGACGTGCCTGTGCGGGCTGGTGGGATTCTCCTGATTGCTAAGGGGAACATGGGTTGTTACGACACAACAGACACAAGGAGGAGTACATTTGGAATGCAGAACACTTGGGGCATCTCTTACTAGTATTACTGAGCCCTGTGATGAAAGTCAATGGAAAACTGCCAATTCAGGCACAACTGCTAAGTCCAGATTTTCAGGAAGGTTTGAGTCATCCCTCTAGGTAAAGAACCACAACCACCTAAGGTGCTTGCTGAGGGCAAAGGGAATATGGAATGGGCAGTGAAATGGGACATTAAAAATACCACCTGTGACCACACGACCAGTCACAGAAATGATCACTACAATTGTTATGAGTATTTCTTCCTTATTTTGGTGTAAATATATTTGTATATATACCAACAAATATTTTCTTCTTCCCTCTCTTTTCCCTTATCATCTAACATAAGGTATCTTAATAATAGTCAACTTTATACCACAGTGTGTAAGTTACAGGATACTAAAGCAGAAGTGTGATCATCTCCCAAGGACTTGGCATCCTCATGTGGGGAAAGAATCCGCACATTTCAGTTGTGAGCAGAATAGTGGCATCATGTTAGGTGGAAGGAAGACTTGGTTGCTGTCTTACCTGGAAATTTTTTAAGGTGGTGTGTGTGAGTGCCAAGTTGCCAAGGCTGGACTACAGTGGTTGGCTCTGGGTGTCAACTTGGCTAAACAACAATCCCCAGATACCCAAAACACTGATCTAGGTGTCACTGGGAACGTATTTTGTAGATTGATAAAAATCCATGATCTGTTAACTTTAAATAGGAGAGATTATCCTAGAAGATCTGGGCAGGCCTCATTCAATCCGTTGAAAGGCCATAAGGGCAGATTTGAGGCTTTTCTGAAGAGGAATCTCTGCCTGTGGCCAGCAGCTTCAGCTCATGCCCGGGGCCCAGGCTGTCCTTTCCGATGGCCTGCCCTGTGGATTTTGGCCTTGCCTAATCACCCCCGACAGCTGGAGAAGACAATACCTTGAAATGTCCTAACATATATCTCCTATTGGTTTCTGTTTCCTAGTGAGACTCTCTGACTGACATAGAGATCAGCAAAAACTGTACTTTTCATTTATAAGTTGTCATAGCAAAGATACATCAATTCATTAATTTCTCATTTCATTTCATTTCCCTTTTTTAAAAAAAAGTTTCATTTATGCGTGGGGGTCAAGGTTATAGAGATATATTTATCACTGACAAAGTTTTTACACACTGTCATTCTTCTATGACTTCTAATGAAAGTACCACATTTCTAAGAATTCCCAGATTATAAAATGAGTCTTTACCAATTTTATAGCATGTGCTATGTCAAAGGTTAAAAATTTTAAGTTAAATTAGATCTCAAGTTTCACACAACATGGATGCAAATGATCTGCAAAAGCTTAAACCTTTAGGACTAAATCAAAATTACAGTCTAAAAAGGCACTCTAATTTTAAGTTAATAAAGACTATTTATAAATGCGATTAACACTTCATAATATTAAACTTTACTTACTTAACACCGTATCTGTCCCTAAACATAATGTGGTCCCGAAACGTGCGGTTGACATCCAGGTCTATTTGTCTGATGTCAGGTGAACAGCCCCGTGCTCTGTGTTTTAATTTCTGAAGAGAGAAAGAGAGGGGAGAACAGATTTTTATGGAAATTAGTTGTTGAAAAGTCAATGACAAATAATAAAATAATTCTCATTAAAAAGTTTTTGGTTTAAAAAAATCATTCAATGGTTAAAAAAATCAAAACTATATATATAAAAAAGTACAGAATAGAAACTTTCCCTCCCCTCCATTCCCCCATTTCTCCCACTCCCTGCTTCTCCCTCTTCCCCTACCTTCCTTCTCTTCCATCCTATCTAGTTAGATTTTAATTTAGGATAGAGAACTTTTCAGAGTTTGCACTACTGAACTATGTGAAAGCTCTTCATGGCTGAGCCATGCAGTCTGTCATGATTTCTTGTTTCTTTCCAGGATGATGCTTTTGTTTCCCTTGAAGCTAATCATTGCCTTGTTTCTCAATGTGCTTCGTTTCCCACCTAATTCAATCCCAAGCTCACTATAAATGGTATAATCTCCTCAGGTGATGTTCAGGTAGAGTAGGTGTTCCACCAGCTTCATCTTGCTGTCTGCTGCTCCTGCCTGTGCTGTGCGGCCCGACCTCTGGGCCCGCTCTCACCTGTGAGGCCCGACCGCTGGGC